TCTTTATCTACTTCAGTGCCGTTTGCCAACACAGTGGAAGGAGGCCACCTTAACTTTACTTCCACACAAGTCGACAATCTTGTTGATAGTACTGCAGCCTCTGTGCGTACAACACTTCATACTGTTGCCCCTTCTGTAAAAGAAGGCAGTGAGACAGAGGAGGCCTCATGGTACAGCTTGCAGCTCCGCTCCCTAAAGCAGTCATCACGAAAACTGGAAAGGAGGCGGCGCTCCGCTAAGTCAGAACAGTTTTTCATAGCCTGGAAAGATAGTTTAATAACATATATAAAAAAAAGCCCTTTGTAGTGCCAGAACTGTGTATTATTCACATTCACTGATAGAGGAAAATAAGAACAAGCCCAGGGTTATCTTGCACTTATTTCATGCATTTATTAACATGCATTTTTGGACACACTGTTATTTAGAATAATATAACCAAAAGCTTAGAGTACAGACCAGTCGCATTCATACTGTCCATTCAGTGGTTCAGTTTAATTAGGTTCCTGTTTGCAGAATGTCTGGTGATGGTATATTGATGCCTGAAATCTGTATCTGTCATCATATTCTCTCACTGAGAAGTCAGAGTGCAGGGTCAGACAGGTCAGCCTTATTTGTAGACACCTTTTAATGATCACAACTAAGTGCTTTACAGAAAGCAAAGGGCACAAGCTAAACTAGACAGAAGCACAACGTTCAGAGCTGTTTGTTGTTTAAAGTGATTTTCTGACAGTGTACTTGTAATGCAACGTACTGTTTAGTTTTAGCAGAAGATACATCTGTCAGACCCAAAAGCTGTATATCAGGTTAAACTGTTGAGGTATTTTATACAAACAAAAGTGCAGCACGATGACAAGGTCTAGCAAATGAGCCAGAGCCTGTGGGACAAAATGTTCATTTTGTGTCTTGCTCAAGGGCTTTCAGAGGGCACCTCATTTGCAGTGCTGCCAGGTGTGTGATAATTAGTGTATTTGGTGATAACAGTAATAATAATTCAGTCCTGTGTATGACGTATGATCAATATGTCTAACATTCCCTAAATGTACAATAATTTAGATGTGACATAGCTTCATGGATTTTTACACAAGTATGCAACTGGACTGAGCTGACTTGGAGCCAGTCTGATTATTTATCATGCACTAACCATGCCACTAATAAAATGACAACTGACCCTAGATCTGCCGTTAATGATCCATCTCTGGTGTCGCCGCTCACAGCCTCCTAAACTCTCTGTTAATCTATGTCACAAGTTGTCTTTGTCACACCGGTGTTTGGTTTGGTTATTCTCATGCTGTTTGGTTTATGATACAAGAAATACCTGTACCCTGTTACTGTTTACACACAGTATATATAATAGTACTGGTGCCTAGTCCAAGCCCATTGCAGTCATCTTGTTAACCTGGATTTAGTTCCATTAATCCATTAATCACAAAACTTGTTTATTTCAAATTTTAGCCATTTTTAAAGGAACATTGTGTTTTTAAAAAGTATTTTCCAGTTACAACATAAAATATGGTAGGTAGGTAGGTAGGCTCCCCTCATTGGGGAAATTTCAGTGTTTCAGCAGCAATGGAGAACAAACAACATAACACCATGAGAACAAGCACCGCACACACATCCTGATAAATAAATTCCAAGTACTCAAAAATAGACAGAATCAAGTATGCTTTATAAGCCCTGTTTTTTGTTACTCAGACGCATTTTATTTCCACATTCCTGGTTTCAGCTTTCCCTGGTCAGAACCAGTCCTTATCGCCATGTATCTTTCCCCCTTCAACACAAACACAGGCAGATTACCTCTTTGGTCAGAAAGAATTTTTCACATCACAACACATCCTCTTTTAGCATTACAGCAAAATACAAACTCCTAATTCCTCCTTCTCTCCAGACAAAGACAAGCCCCTGGACTCTGGTGAAGACTCACTGGGTGTGAACGGCGGAGGGCCCGGCGGGGTGGGAGGTGGCCCGGGCTCTGGCCCTCTGCGGCCCAACTCCCAGTCAGCCTTCTTGGGCCCTCTGCTGTGGGAGAGGACCCTGCCCTGTGATGGAGGCCTGTTCCAGCTGCAGTACATGGACCTGGAGGAGTTTCTGACCGAGAATGGGATGGGGATGCACAGCAACGGGCCCAGCTCCACCAGCGCCCAGATCCCCTCCCAGGTAAGACGGATCGAGACCAAACCCACAGAACCTAACCTCACCAAAGTGCAAGAACAAGATTTCTTAATCAAGGTGGAGATGCAGCCATTACTGTAACGTTGCTATCGCTGGTCTCCAGGGTGATGCTAAACAGGGAAACTGTGTGTAGCTCGCTGATAGGTGAGTATTGGCACAGATAAGTTGGCTCTTGAACTAACATGCCAGTGAGTTGTGTCTTCTTAGCTTTCGATATTACAAAAGATCCTGATGACTTGCATTCTATCACGAAAGCAATGTGGCCTAGGCTAGCCACATTTTATAGACGACACAAATATTCAGTGTAAATTTAGGTCTCACATCGAGCACCTGAAACCCACTCAATACCTCGTTACACTGGCTTTCTTTATTCGCTTTAAATCAGGGCGTTAGGCCATGTTCACATCATATCATAGGCTACAATACAGAGTGGATTTTTTTTAGCAGCAGAAATCACCCATCTCCTTGTTGTTATTAAGAATTTAGCAGACTTCTGACGGCTTTCCTACTGCCGATTGACTCGGCTCCCCAGCAAATCAGTGTTTCCCTTATGTACGTCAAGTTTGACGTCATCGCGTCGGTTACGTCAAACACCCGTGTCGGTGATCCGAGTTGTAAACAAAACGGCATGGAAGCTAGCGAGACGGTCAGCGTTAATTTTTCGTATTTACTCTTGTTCATCTTCCAAAGTATAGAAACGTAAAGTGAACCATGTTAGAGCGTTGATTCAACAAAGACGGATGGAATTTATGGCAAAGAATCGCCAAAATTATCAACGGAGGAAACAAGCAAGCTTTAATTCCCTATTTATTGGCAATTGTGACGATGCGTACGTCATTGCGTACGTTCGCGGGTTTACGCTAGTTCGGCTTTCTCGTTGATTCCAAACCGTGGCATGCCGAGGCAAAGCGGATAACGACCCATGTTCCAGGGTCATTTGTCCCAGTAGTTGCATTTCCACTGCTGTTTAAATGGGTCTATGGGTAGTTGGAAAGGGACTTTAGTTAGTTTGCCATCTAAGCTGTACAGTTGTTGCCAATCCAAGTTGTGGTAATGCTGCGTTTGTGCATCACACTGTGGTATGGACCTGATTTCAAGCACACCTGATGACATCAAACTGTCTTTAGGAGTCTCTACATGATTGTTATGGAATAAAGTTCATTTTTAAAAGGCTAGAAGACGGCCAGAGACCAGTAACATTTCAAAAGAGAGAACTGTTGTTTGCACTGAGTATGCCGGCGAGAGGCCCTGCTTTCTAGGGTAAAGATTTGATTTCACTCTGTCATTTCTTGTGGGTGGAGAGGTAACGGTGTCCAACCCCTGAAATTAATTTGCATGAACTGAACGAATCCACAATGGCTCAGTTAGTATGGATTAATACTGATAATGGTTTATATAATGAATCTTAAGAGGGTGCATTTCTCAACTTTCCTCCTCTCATTTGTGCCAGAGCTCCCAGTCTGCAGTGCCCAACCAGAGCTCCCAGTGCCCTCCCACCTCTCCTCCACCTTGCTCCTCCTCTTCCTCATCCATGTCCTCTTCATCTCCCTCTTCCTCGCTGCTGGGGCTAGAGACCGTGCAGCCACAGCCGACCCCACCTCAGCAGCAGCAGCAGCAGCAAGGCATGATGGGAGGACCTGAGTGTCTACATGGTGAGTGAGCTCAAATTTCAAAACATCACAAGAGTGAGTTAAGAGGAAATATGGAGAATGTGGGGTCCTTGTTGGGCAGTTTTCTTCCATTTTGACCTATTGGAAATTTTAACTGAATTTTTGACAAATCATTACAATACTCTTCAGTTTACTTTACCAATCACTCTGAAGCAGAAGGCGGTTGTAAGAAGAAAGGTTCTGGTATCCTTAATATCTTAAAGTCTAAAGTATTTATAGTAATAAAACTTGTTTTTTCTGGTTAGAAATGAGAAGGCTTGTCTTACTTTAGCTCCTGCAAAGTTGACAGCAAGGACATCACATGACAAAACAAAATCTCTTTATCAACTAATACTGTCAAACACATACGAGTCTGCACTCGTAAAGGCCTCACGTGATCTAGGACTAATGAGGATGCACACCCCTGATACTTTAAACCCAATTCAGTCATTTGCCTTCATCTACAATAACCAGAGTGGGATTCTATCTTTGTGTGATAGATGGCTGACACCCTATTCTCTGGCCCTCCTTGGCCTGGTTCATCAGTTATATATTCATAATTTAATGCTTCCTCTCTGTGTTGTGTTTGATGTGAACCAGAGCTGCCAGATGATCAGCATGTCATTTTTGTCTTTTTTTTCTGTCTGTTGGAGATTTCACAAGTCTGATAAGTTCCTGTTTTGACTAATGGAAACCACAAAGCCATTTTTTATAATGCTAACGGCCATGATTTCCATCTTGTGAGCCACTGAATGAAACCTCACAGCCAATTTCATGAGATTTTATTGATGACAGATTGCCACATATCAGAGAAAATGTTCAGTGCTTATGTAGACAATTAAAGGAAGGATGAGACAATGAGTGAGTAGAGACAGAGAGAGCAAACCTTTTGTGTCCTCTGGGTTGCAAACCATTTTCCCCCACACTGTTACACATCTAAGTAATTGTGAATTTTATGTTGCCAACAAAATGTCACTGAATTGAATCAAGTGAAAGACAAAGAAAGACTGTTGAATGTGTTTGAAGTGAAGGCAGATTCCCTCTTGCCCTCCACTGGGTAGGTGGATTTACCTTACATGTATGTAATAACACATTCAGTCTGCAGCCAGTCAAATATACACAGAGATCTTTTTTGTATGCTGGCTTTAAGTCAAGGCCTTGGCAAGCTTACCACACTAAGCTTGGAGACAAACATTTGATTAAGGATAAACTTAGATAACACAAGTTCCCTCCCTTGCTGTCATTCCATTACCCCACAAGTTTGGATGGGGTATGAAGTAGAATTAAGCAAAGTTCAAGTTTAAAAGTTCAGAAGTGTTTATTGTCATAGGCACAATAAAGAAACAAGTTTCCTTTTTCAATTAAATTCTTCCTTTGCCTTCTGCTATGAATGCTGTTAAGTTAGAAGACATAAAAATTTAAAAAGCAATAAATAAACAAATGATTTATACAAAAAAATCAATGCAATGCAATATCAATACCACATGTGCAATTATCAGTTCCAGTGATAAGTATATACTGTGTACAGTAATATATAATAGTGCAATAGGCAGTAATGCAGATTTATGGTCTTATCGAGAGTCTATTCATACCACATAGTGTGTTGGTTTGGTTGCAAAATGGTGTCTGTGTGTCTACATTAATTATTTTTTTTTTCTTTTGGGCCCCTTAATGGCAACACAAAAACCTGTAACCACAGTATTGACATACAGTGCCTATACGCCCCGTTTCTGGCATTAACATGCCATCTGGATAAAGTAATTTCACTTCAGGTTAGGGGACTTTATTGATACCTAAAGGTAGAATTACTTGCAGCAGAGTGACATCATGTGCACAGTTAGGAAACGTGTTTCCTTGTACAATGAAATTCTTACTTTGCCGTCCACATGAATGCCACATAATATAAGTGAAATATAAAGTAGATGAGCAATAACACAAATCTAAATAGGCAGTAAAATCACAAATCTAAGGCACTTTAAAGCAGCAGGTGAAGGGAGCAAATCAAAATACAACAAGAACACAATGTAATGCAGAGAGAATATATGCTACGTGGGAGCCATGGAGTGTAAATACTCAGCAGTGTGTGCGCAATTATGCATGTGCAAACTGAGAATGTAAACAGTACAGGTCGACAGTACATGACGTATTTCCTGGTGATAAACTCCTGTCAGCTGTTTAGGAGTCCGATGGCAGAGGGAAAGAAAGAGTTTTTCAGTCTAGAGGTCCTGCATTTCACACTTCTGAACCTCTGGCCAGAGGGTAGTCCAGTCTTTACCACTCTCTGCAGGCGCTTGCGGTCCATAGCTGTAGTGCTGTCATACCAGACAGTGATGCAGCTGGTCAAGATGCTCTCAATGATGCAGCTGTAGAAGTTGCAAAGGATCCTAGGTGACATGCCAAACCTCCTCAGCCTCTTCAGGAAGGACAGCTGCCGTTGGGCCTTCTTGACCAGCTGTGTGGTGTTACGTGTCCAAGTGAGGTCCTCACTGATCTGGACGCCCACGTATTTGAAGCTGCTCACCCTCTTGAGAATAGTACTAGATCTTATTAAACTCCGTAATGGCAGCTGGAATGACACCATTTTATACCAGATGCAATCGGATCAGCCAGGCTACATTTGGAGGTGGTCAGCCTAGTGTTGTCTTCAGACCTCAGGCAGGTGTAGGTGTAGTCTGTACAGCGTGGCCATATTCTTAACCTAGCTCTGTCTCTTTCTGCTAGCTTAAGCAAGTGCAGCATCTTAATACCAGGTGTAAAAGCAAATATCCATTCATCATATGTTGTCATCCAGATCATGCTAGGTGTTAGTGGGACCTAGCTTAGCAAACATTTGGCTGTTTACACATCCAGCTGATACAGAGCTGCATTAGCAGTGATTTTATAGTCATGTTTCTGGCCAACAGATGAATGTAAGTCCAAGTCTGGGCCCATAAAACCAAAACAAAGTGCTAAAAGATGCTAAAATGTTCTGCAGAGCTGAGAGGAACTGTAGCGTCAGTCAGTAATTTGCTGTGGCTTTGTCATTATGAGCAACATGCTCCATATCACAAATAGTGATTTGAACTATTGTTGCAATAAAGATATGGCTTAGTAGAGCTTTAAAACTCTAGTGCCTTTGTTGTATTCATACTTAAAGCATTCACATATTTTTTTAAAACTATGTGATGAATTTACCCAGTTAGAGACAGAGCGTGAGAGGGCGAGAGAGAGAGAGAGAGAGAGAGAGAGAGAGAGAGAGAGAGAAACTGCCCAGCGTGACCACATTCAGAGAGAACTGACTGGGCACTGTGGTTGTCTTTATATTCTGAGTCATAAACAGTGAGAGAGAAGAGGTTTTACTGTGAAAACAAGCCACAGAGTAGCTTGACAAGTGAAAGAGAGAGGGAGGAAAGAACAGCAGCAGAGCCTCTGCCAGAATAAAGCTGCCACAGAGGAGAGAATACCACTGGATCCTGCTGCAAGGCAAAGTGTGTATGTGTGGTCATATCTGGCCCGAGTGTTTCTTCAGGTGTCGATGAACACACAACATTAGTGTGTGCACATGCTTGTGTGCGTGCAGTGCGCCGAACTTGGAACATGCATATGAGAGTGTCCTCTTTGTTTTGGCATTTGCATGCAACTGTGTGGGCTTTAATGTGAACATGCTCTCGTCTGTGTGCGCGTGTGCTCTTTATTCTGAATTCTAAACATGTGACTGGGCTGAGCACGATGCATCCATCCAGAAATCCCTCAGGTCGTTGTGGAGCTGAAGTGTTACTACAGAGCTGCAGTGAGAGAATCAGCCAGAGAGAGATGGAAAAAAGGCTAGAAGTATCGGACTGATCTACGTGCACATGTTTTAGTTTGATTTTAATACATTCCGGACCAAAATATGCTCAGAGGATGGAAAACAAAACATATGGATGCAGCTGTGATTTTGTAAAGTACTTTGAATTTTACACCAGTTTGTTCTGTAAATATAGTAAATGACAAATACTGACATTAGTGAGGACATGGACTGAGGATTTTAGTGGAAAGTAGTCAAAAACAGAAGAAACCAGCAGAGATAAAATGTTAAACCAGCTGTTGTCAGGTTAGTGTAACTGTAAAGCAGTTTCCATTCCTGTCTGTTTCCTTACCTCCCAAAACCTGGCAAGCTCCTCGTCTCCTTAAAATGTATCTTTTCCCCTGTAAAAACCGTCCTTGGCTTTTTGCCTCAAGGAGAATCACCTTTAAGTGCAGTTTACATCGACACTTGGAGGTCAGTTGACCCAGTGAAAACCTTATTAATTCAAATCAGATTTTTAATTTCTGATTCCCATGGGCCTGTGCGGGCTGGAGGATGCATGAGCTGTGTCTGCTGCACTAATTTTTCAGTTATTACTGAACTGAACAACACAGAGATGACTGCACTTAAAATGTGCATTAGAGTTAGAATTTGGTGAATAAACATGAAATGTCACTTGTCACCTCAGCAGCTGGGGAGAATTCCCAAAGCTGAACAGCCGCCTAATTGTTATCAGTTGTTCTTTTGCCCGAGGCTGATCTGTCCATCACGCGTCATGGGAATCTGTTCAGCTGTTAAATCCTGCTGACAGGCAGAGACAGGAACAGAGTGAGGGTGAAAGCAGATGTGGTGAAGCTTCAGTGGGAAGTGCCGATAAAAACAAACGTGTCAATATGAGAATATGGCTTCTCTACATTTATAGCAACCTAAACAGGCCAACAAACCAGTGGTTACACACAGCTGCTAAACCGGGAACTTGGAATTAAATTGACATTTACAGAACATTTGTTTTTATTTATCGATGAGACTGGATTTCAGGCCTCTATTTAATTATGTGACATCTATTGTTTGCTTTTTTCTCCCTACTGAACCAAAAGCATACCAAAACATAGACGGAGAAGGTCGGCAGTCACACCACTGCAGCGTTGACCCCTGCAGTCACTCTCCTAAGGATGAGCATCTCCAGTTGAGATGCTCCAGTTCAACCAGAAAGCAAACATCTAGACTGGAAGAATCC